ATGTTCTTTTGTTAGATTCACTCCTCAGCTTTTGCTGAGCGTGAAGTTGTTTTTGCTACACGTAAGTAGACATGACGGAGCAGGTGCCAACCCTGGAGAGCGGTGACGATGGGGAGATGGGCGGCGCACGGACGAACTCTTCATTACTTTCAATAACTTCATTAATCAATTGGGCGTGAACCCACCCTTGTCGTTATTTAGTTTGGACTGAACTTATTTAATTACTTCCGCAAGTACTCTGCATTTTCATTACACACGTTTTGGGAGTAACTCCCTGGCATTTATTCCTCTAATTAAAACCCAACCGTTTTCTTATTAAATAATCATTGATGTTTTCGTAACGGATGGTTCTCGGACTGTCCATGTAACCCTACCGGTCCGTTGGGTCGCGGGTGAACCGGGTCCACGGAAGGCGGGTGTTACAATTTGGTATCAGAGCCCGGTTCGGTTTTTGGAAAAAAAACACAACTTGTCGTCAAAGTCCACAGCCGCATCTCCCATCGCATCACTCCCAGGGAAAGGTACACCGTTATTTAGATCACATGTATGTCATATTATAACTAGTTCTGATTTAAGTTATTCCTTTAGAGAATGAGTCAAGCAGCTGGCAATGACGGACAGGCGGTCCCAGAGGGGGAGCCTGAGCACATGAGCGTGCACACTGAAGCGTCGAGCTTCACACCTCAGCAGGCCTCCGAGCAGGCGGTCCCGGGCGTGGGCCCTATGCCGGAAGCTATCCCTATTGTCCAGCCGCAGTTCGCGACTAACTTCATGAACTTCCTCCAGCAGATGGCTGGAGCTTACGCGCCACCACCGCCGCCACCACCGCCACCAGTGGCGGTGGTCACTATCGAGAAACTCCAGAAGAATGGAGCTGAGGAATTCTTAGGCGATCAGATCGCCGACCCCATGATTGCCAAACGGTGGTTTGAGCGAACCATCCGAGTGTTGGGGAACCTGAGGGTTCCACAGGAGCAGCGTGGCGACCTCGCAGTCGCATTACTTCAGGATTCCGCCTACGACTGGTGGAAGCGTGTGGGAGCAGGCGTCCCGGAGCCCGTGCAGTGGGCCACATTTGACCGACTCTTCCACGAAGAGTACATCCCTGAGCACTTCGTCGAGGCGAAGCGGGAGGAGTTTTTGAAGTTCACCCAGGGTGAACTCACACTGCCTGAGTATCGTCAGAAGTTTGACGAGCTCGCGGGGTTTGGGCT